GCGCGGCGAGGCGTCGCTTTGCAGGTTTAATTGTTTTTACCAGTCCAATTCCTCCGATGCTGGGCAGCACCAACTTCACCCATGGGTGCGCAAAAGTAGGTTAATAGTGATAAGTGGTAATACAGGAGCAAACTTTCCTGCACTCACGACTGCAAGCCTACGTTTGGGCACCCCTGCATGTTGCTAGTAAACCACAGATAACCGCTGAAGGAAGGGCAGCGACCCGGAGGCTCCGCCCACCTGGGATTCTACCCCCTCCCCCGGGTCAGGTGCCCGCCGCTGACCGCGTTTGCACCCTGCTCTGAAAGCCTCCGTGGGCCGTGCGAGGACTGGGCCGCCTCCTGTGCGGCTGTGCCTTTCCAATTTCTAAAACAAAACATTTCTAACATTTGTGAAACTGAACAGGATGCACCCTGAAAACGGCTACAGCAGCCCTGGCTGGTGAGGCTCCGCGGTCAGAGCCGCAGCCTGCGCACCAAAGGGTCAGGGGTTCGAGTCCTGGTCAAGAGCACGTGCCTGGTTAGGGTCCATCTGCCCAGTCCAGGGGTGTGCAGGAGGCGCCCAGGTCCAGGGGTGTGCAGGAGGCGCCCAGGTCCAGGGGTGTGCAGGAGGCGCCCAGGTCCAGGGGTGTGCAGGAGGCGCCCAGGTCCAGGGGTGTGCAGGAGGCGCCCAGGTCCAGGGGTGTGCAGGAGGCGCCCAGGTCCAGGGGTGTGCAGGAGGCGCCCAGGTCCAGGGGTGTGCAGGAGGCGCCCAGGTCCAGGGGTGTGCAGGAGGCGCCCAGGTCCAGGGATGTGCAGGAGGCGCCCAACGGATGTGTCTCTCTCGCATGGATGTTTCCCTCTCCCCCCACCCCCTCCCACTTTCTAAAAATCAACGGGAAAAAGTCCTCCCATGAGGATTAACAAGAAGATGAAAATGGCCAGAGCAGCAATTCTGACTGCAAATGATTGAGTTCCACAGTAGTAAGCAAAGAAGTTATAAAATTGCAAAAACTGCCCTAGCCAGTTTGGCTCCGTTAGAGACTGGGCGGG